CCGGTCGGTCGGTCAAAGGCCTTTGACTGACCGTTGACCGACCGTTAACCGACTATGACCGACCGTTACCATCCCTACAAGTGACGATCGACATTTCACAATTTTCGAGTTTAAAAGAAACTATTTAATTGAAATAATGTTTATTTTAAATTATAAATTAATAACAAATTTATTCTGAATTTTTAAATTTGTTTAAATTTAAGTTAAATAAATTTATTAATTTATCAATAATAATTAAATTTAATAATTTGTAATAAATTTATTTTAAAATTTTCATATTAATATTTCACGATACTTTTGTATTCATTGTCGAATTAACAATATTTCTATTTGATAAATCTATTTATCTTAAGTATTTACACATAAGGATACGGTCAATGTAATTAGGTACATGAAACTTTTTTTTTAAAAAATTTGATTTTAAACTTATAACATGATAAAGTAAAATTATAAGTTTAGAAAGCTAGCATCAAACTCTGATATACATGTATATAATAATATTAATTGTTTTTATAGTAATAACTGAAGTGCTATACTAAATTGTATAAATAAGAATGAGTTGGGAATTCTAAATATTTAAATAAATCCAACATTTAAATGTGTAATTTTTTAATTTAATGTAACCTTGTGTTAATTGAAGAGACAATATTAATCATCCTCTTTACGCCTCTCATTTAATGTTATCAAAAATTTATAATGTTGACGTGACAAAATATTATTTAAAAGATTTTATGATTCATTAAAAAATTTTGTTTTAAATAAACGAGCACCCATTGAAAAATTCATTTTCCAGTGAATTATTTGTATTTTGTTGAGTTTGTTGAGGAAGGTTTATGATCCGTTTCAAAGTGTCTTGATTATTTATAAAGTTTATAGAGAATCTTCGAAATGATTGAATTCTTCTTTTTCTTCTTTGATTAATGTGATTAATGTTTCCCGGAAGTTGCGTTTCTATTCCGTCGTTGTATGAACGATGATTTTGATTCATTTCTTTATATTATAAATATAAGTTTTAATGAGATAGAATAATAGTACTAACAATACTCATATTTATAGTTTACATGAAGGCTAACCAAATTAACACTGTTTAAATGTTTAATGAAGGTGCGTCGCCTTTGCATTTAATTATTTTCAGAAATAGTAAATTTTCTAAAACAACAAAAGCATTCAAGATTATCCTAAAATTATCATTTTTTTTTAAAAATGAAACTTGGTAATGAGCGAATTGATCAGCCATATCATTGAACTTTATATATTTTGGAGTAAAATCAAAAATTGATTTATTGATGTTTATCTGAAAATAAAAATTACTTATCAAATTAGAAAAATGCGAAATGTCAAAATTTCATATAAAATAACATACTTTTTTTTTTAAAAAAAAAAAAAAAAAAAAAAAAATCGAAATGTCTTATTTATAAAAAAAAAAGAGTTTTGATATTGGATGATTTGCTATCTAATCGGTTCGGTTCATCTAACAAAATGGATTATTTATATATTTCATTGGGGAAGGTTGATTATCTATCTATTTATTCACTTGCCACAAAGAAGACTAAATTGATTTGAAAATTTAATATGATTTTGATTACAGTAATTTCACATATAATAAAAGCAATTGTAAATCTTTGTATTGTTAAAAAAAAATGATTGTCGGTTTACAGACTATAACGATAAGTAAATTTTTCTGTAAAAGTTTGTGTCACAAGATGTATGTACTGTATGTACATGTACATGTACAAAATTTACGATCAACTTCTTTTTAAAAAAGTTCAAGTATAGGATAATTTCGGAAAAAAAAATGCAATGTCCGCATTCTGAATTTATAAATTTTATGGTCTAATTGGAAATGAACTATCTAATTCCGATTGGATAACTTTACGAAAATGCTCTGAAATTTATAAACTTATATTTGATGCGCATGGTTACTTAAAATGTAAAATAAAGTTCAAATGTTATAAATTTTTTAATTTTTCTTTTTCTTTTTTTTTTGTCAATATTCGATATTGCGAAGTAAACCAGATTTGTTATCGTACAAAGAAAGAAACGCATTTATTTTATTTAAACAACCTTATAAACTTCAACCAAATAAGAAGAAAGTTGTAATATACAGTATAACCTTCGAAATTATAAATCACGTGACACAACTTCAGAAATTTCTTAAAATAAGCCCCAACTCCCTAGAAATACGTAATTCATGACCAAACCAACCTAATGCTAACGCTGACTCTAAGTGACATATGTATAATAAATTACAAATAGGATTTATCGCAATATTTGGATACCTCAATGTTCAAACTTGGTGTATAAAAATTTTGCATGGTAATTTCAGTGATTTGAAGTACGCAAATTTGGATTTCGGTTCACGTTACAAATGAAAGACCCGGGGACCCGGGTTTTATTTTTTATTAATAAAAATTTTTTATTATAAAAAACTATATCACGTGATCGATAAACTTGAATTTTATCATTCGAAATCAAAATTCCTATACATGTACGAATAAGTCATAATTCTAAAAAAGAAACATAAATAAAGATATATATCAGTTTCATACTTATCACCTGATTTGTGGTATGCAGATGTTGTAGTAAAATTTAGTCATCGAAAGTATTAATTGGAGAAACGATTTCAGCACAATGCATTGATTGGGAAGTTTGCATGTAAATATAATACCAATTACTTTCCTATTTTGAAAACTGTAATATATCAGTTGAAAATAAAAAAAAACAAGAAAAGAAATTTGTAAAATCAAGCAAACAAGATGTTTAATAAAAGAATACGATAAAATAAAGCCTTAATCTATAAATACTTGCGCCAATAAAATTATACTTCTAAGTCACGTGATAAAATTCTACATATAAAAATATTTTACGTGGCATAATTTTTCTGGTCTAGCTTGAATGATTATAAAATAGGACTCGTTCTTGATATTTACTTTTAAGGCATATTTTATGTATTAATTTTTAAAAAATACATTGAGAATTCTTTAAATGATCGTTACACGAAAATTCGAACCAATCATATCAAAGGTGTAAGGCCCAATAATAAATCACGTGATAAATCATGCAATATTTAATTATATCTCTAATATTTAGACTTTATTCATATTTTTTTTCTTTTGGCGTGTTTCTATTATATAACATTTAAAAAGAAATTCTTTCGGTTTACATTATATTAATGTATTTTTAGCAATGAAAATGGTCAATACAAAATTTATTTTGTATATATTAACAGCTTGTAGATGATTAATGGTAAATGAAAAGGCTTTCTTAATAAAGTAGGTAAATACTAAAAAAATAAGTTCGTATTAGGTTTTTACTTTTTTGGATAATTTATGTAAGCATTAATTATAACACTGCATATTTTTTTTTGCGTGTAACTTATACATCTCATCTTTTACAATAATATCAACTGTTGGGAGACTGGTAGGAAACTCGCTATTATCTCATTCTTTAAAAAATAGGGCGTAAATTAATTTCAATAATATATGAAGTTTAAACTTTGTTGGTAAAGGGCGTCGATTAATATTTTCTATCCGTGTAATGTTTATTTTGTCGCGTACATCTTTACAATATTTATTAAATGAAATCTTATAAATAAATTCCGAGAGTACCTGAATATAGAGAATTTTCACGGAAATAAACAAATATATAAACTTGTGAAACTTTTTATATAATTTGGAAGTTCTTTATAAATTTAAATGTTTTCTGTAACGAATAAGAATACTCGGTTTATGCATGAATGCCTTCCCGTCGTACGTAAGTAGCTTCTTGTAAATATTGATTGACCAAGTGAAAATCAAGATCATCAAAAAATATTGTTCTTTGGCAACAAGTCTATTTATAGTTAACAAATATTTTTTTACAAAATTATAATTTTTTACCTTTTTATCATTTTGATATTCTAATTTATATAATAAATGTACGGGATACACTATAAAATACTGTATATAAAATTAAAAATTAATATTTATTATATATTATACCGTATATAGTAAAGAAAACGTAATCTTTACTTGGATAAGGTTCCAAAGCCGTCGAAAATGAGATACTTGCCATGGTGAAAGTTAAATGAAATTTGTAAACAAATTTACATATCGATTATTCAAATAACAAAATATTTCGTTATGATACAATTTTTGATCGGTTTTAAATAATGATGACTGAATAAGATCTTTTGTAATTGAATATTATATAATATATTATTTAAACTTTATTTTTAAATAACACCTCACCTTTTTCGTATCAGGGTTTGTGCAACTATAAAAAATTTTTGCCTGAATGTTTATATTTTTTCTCCGTGGCTTCTTTAAAAATTCCAAGAAAATGAGTCTTCGTGTAAATGAGCTCTTCACGGAAAAAAACATTTAAAACAAAACACGGATCAACTTTTTTAATAGGGCAATTATAATTCACGTCTATAATAAAACTAATTAACAATAAATCATGTGTGTCGGTCTATTCAGAATCGTGACCATAATAAAAACTTCAAGACAAAATCTTTGCCGAGAACTCGCCATATTGTTGGTAATAACTTAACTCTTGTGTAAAATCATATGTCACACAGATTAATTTTAAAAGTTTAAATTGAATAAAGTTGATTTAGGTTAGTTTAGTCTTAGAATATATGCATGCCATTACATAATATACGTGTATATTAGGTGTGATAATTATACTGTTTACAATACTGATAAGTCTCTGAATTTGTTAAAATTAAAAATAGATTTTTTATTATATCCTGAAGTTCTTGCGGCGCCCAAGTATAATGTATAAATAAGATTACATATTCCATATAGAATATATTGAGCATATCAAAATACTTTAGAGATAATTGTACTTGTATAAATGCTTCCAGATAATTCGAATACACCGGTCTTTATCATTTTTATTAATCATTTTTAATAACTTAATTCTTTATTTTCTTTATACGTAAATAAGGTTTATTTATGAGTGTATGTATATATAAAAAAAAAAAAAAAAAAAAATGGTGATCTAATGATCTACAAAATGTATTAAATAAAGCACAGGTCTCACGAATTTCTTAGCATTAGTTCATTAATTACAGCAGCAATTCATTATTTTCTTGAAAGAAAATTTTTACCTTTGTTCAAAATATAAGGAAATTTACATGAACAACGATAATCGGAGAAAGACCGGAGATAAATCATTTCCTTCAACCTGATTAAATCAACTTCAAGTCAATGTTTAATTTATTTTTATGCACATTTAATTTGTGGTGAGTAAATCATTGAAGATCCGCAAAAAAGTTGGGAGCCCTTTTTTAGTTGGATAATGAAGAATAAAATGAATTGGAATCTTCTTTTTTTTTCTGTTCTTTCTGTTGTCATCAGCAAAATAATACATATAAGCTTGCAAATGACCAATTGTACAAATCAACAAATTTTTTTTCAAGAAAGTATTAAAAGTAAATTTTCTTAGCATTCATTGATTTGAGAACGAATTTTTTGTTTGAGCTACATTGTCGTTTTTTTTTAATTGGCTTGATTCTTTACACTTGGCAAAATCAAAACAAAATTACAGCTTTGTTCAAAATTCTTGATCAGTAATCCTTTCATACAAACTTACCCATTTAGCTCTTTATTCGAAAATTCTCACTAATTATCGATATTATTGGTCCTGTACGACAGAAAATCTATGCGATTACAGGTAACTTAAAAATCAATTAAAAATTAATCTATCACTATTTAACATTTTGTTTTTCTTATAAAGGAATACCCGGAGATATTTCTAGATTTATATTCATACATATGTACTTAATATTTTATAAAAAAAGGAATAATTTCAGTATTAAGAATGCATTAAGTGTGAAACCAATTATACGCGTAAATAATAAACTAATAATAAAGTAATTTTATTATATACCGAAGGATTTTACAATACAAGGCTCGGATTTAAGATAACTCTCACTCACTCACTCTTTTTTTTAATTAAAAAAAGGGGGATCTTATTATAATACGAAGCTGGTTAAATTAAAGTAGCTGATTGGCCAAATATTCCTTTTTTTAGAACTATTTGTTTAGATTTTCATTCGTGTAATAAATTTTAATGATTTTTTTGGTGATACTGTACATCTTCGAACTTTTGTATTATCATGCCATTTTTTCTTATTTACAATGAATTTCGCGATTTCAATTTTAAATAAAGTTTGAATTTATAGTGTAATGTTTTCATACATACGCGTTTCAAAGATGACTAAGTTTTGTCTTTGAAAAAACTTTCATCGAAAAAGAGAGATAAATCGATTTTATCCTACGAAAAAGAACGTGAATTGAGAATTCTATCACTGCATTCAAATTTACTGATCTAAAGTTAGTAAAATACGTAATTAATTTTCTCGGCGTAAAAATATTTAGTGGAACGATAAAAAATATTAAATTCAACTTAAATTTATGCATTCCTAATAATTCTGTGATAACATGGCACAGCTATCTCTTTTCGCTTTGATCGGCTACTTTATTAAAATATTTAATTTTTCTAAAAAAATCGAAGAAGAGAGATTACTTAATTTTCTAATTGTTAGAGTATATTCCTAATTATGGATTTATCTGATAATCTAAAAATCCCAATCGATGATAGGATTATAAAGGCATGTATTTTTAGGTCGCATTTATTATTTAGTTATGATTCGTTGCGTTTGTTTGTCAGTGTTGTATATTTGATCTGGGATTTTCCTTATTAGTATTAATGACAAACGGCTCTTTTCTTCTATGGCATAGTTGAACTTCTTGCATAATCGTTCTAACTTTAAAACATATTTATATAGCGGAGTTTTGACCAAATTCCTTCCGTTCTAACTTATAAATACACGTTGATTTTAAGATTTAAAAAAAAATCTTTTGTTACTACACGTCATCTTTTTCTTAAATAAAAAATAAAAATAAAAACTTCCAATATACATAATAAATTTTCTATAATTAACATGTCTTCAAATGCACCTTTGAACATAAATTATAACGGTAAAATTTCAACTATCGTTAATCAAAGAAGACTGAGTCGGCAGTATAACAGTCAACGAAATATGTGCATAATGAACCCAAGTTGGATTCTTTACGCAGATTCATTAAATCGGATTACAAGTCTCCCTCGTCAAGCTACAAATGATCGATCGTTAGATCGATTCTACAATGGTTCCTCTTTCAATTAAGTTAATTTTTCTTTTTAAAAAAAAAAACAGATTTGATAATGAGAAAAGTTAATAAGCATATAAGCATATATTTTTATATTTAGAATTCGTTGTTTTTTAGTGTCTTTCTGACACATTATGGATTAACAATTCTGCGAATAAAACTTGGATATATTGAATTATAAATTATTCCGGTATAAGCTTTCAGGATTTAAAGTCTAATCTATGTATATAGTATGAACCTGTGTAAATAAGTTTTATATATATTTATTTTCAATTTTTTTAAAAAAAAAATATTATTTAAATTTTTTAATATACAAAATATTCAGAATATAAAATAGCTAAGGATTTATAGTTAGATCAGTTCCTTATTACTACGATATATGTACAGTATATAATGCATAGATTTTACAAAACGCAAAAAAATTCTTCCGCAATCATTTTTACCGGCATTATAATCGAAAATCAAATAAAATTCAGATGGAAACATTTTATTAGTTTAACGGCTTATAATGAATAAAATAAATATAAGTTTTTTAATATAAAAAATTGTAAATATAAATTGACGATCGAAAGTAAAAAAAAAACTTGGTGGATTTATTATTTTATCCATAAACAAACAGGGGTTCCGGAAAATCAATTTTCATATATAAATTGATCTACTCTTACAAATTTCATTGGAAAGGATTTATTTTAAGTGTTATTGTTAATCCCTAGTTTATATTAACGCATTGTTTGATAAATAACCTAATTTAAACTAACATAACCCTTACTGAATTACTAATAAATAAAAAAATTTTGCATACAGACAAAACATCTATAATCTCCGTTTGCATTTTTCATGATATTAATTTCAGACAATTCATTAATGAAAAATTTTCGGACTTTCACCGTCGGATTCCATTATATTTTCTTTCATCCTAATAATAATCAATCGTATTGAACCAGCAGGTCATAAATTTTATTTATTGACAAATCGGAAGAATCCTTAAAAAGGTTTAAAAATAATTCTTAAATTTATTACAAAAAATACACATTATTCAATTTAATAACTTTAATAATTATGACAATAAATAAGTTAGTTAAGTTTCCTTTTCGTCAAACACGTGTTCCGCAGTAAATGGTCAACAATTTCTTCGGGAATATTTGCTAAGTTTGTTTCTTAAATTTATGTGAAATAGTCTTTATTGCTAGCAAAAAATATTTTTAACTATAATGCATATACAGCAAATTGGTGGTGTCGTGCGACAAAAATATTCCCTATTTTGGAATCAAATCGACTCATGCGCTGATTTACGATCCAATCAAATACAGTGGTTAATTTGTACCACAATACCAAGAAAGACAAGAAAGAATTATTATTATTTTAAATTGTTTATTTAAACACTAATTTTTATTTTCTTTTTCTTGGCTTTTATTCTGTTGAATCTAATCGTTATTTCTAACTTTGATATTTGTATTAAATATTTCATCTACCCAATAAAAGATATGATGTATCTCATGTAAATAACAAACAATTCATTAACTTCTAATTTCTTTAGATTGAGGAAAATTAAAATGATGTATTCAAAACTTCAATTTAACTTTTCTGCTAAATTATCCGTACGATCCTTCCTCCTTCCGCAAGATACTTACGAGCGTATGTATACATACACCTTTTGTTATTGTATATATATAGCAAAAATAGTAGCTAAAATAGATAAAGTTTTCCCCTAATTTGACATTTCACTCTAGAAGCAAATTGTAAGGATAGTATTGTATTAAACTATTCTGAAGCTCATTCTCATACGCAAAATGCATATGCAGCTGCAAATTCAATAAGTTTTCATATGGATTATGTGAAAATGAATATAGTCAATGTAACTTTTGATACACGCTAATGTAATCCTTATGATTTATTAATCCTAAAAGAATT